GGTCAGGGAAATCTTATCGTGACACAAGCAAAACCCTCCACCCCACCCTCCTGAGCGATCAATAATGATTGTTACCTTGATGAAAGTAACGTGTATTATACTTGACCAAACACCGCGCAGGGAGGCGCAAAGGCTGATTAGATCTTGCAAATGGTGTTAAGAAATTCGGAACTGAAAAAATCGAGACCTCGATCTAAGTAGTTTTTATTTTAGCACCTGGTCGCAACGAGTTATGAGGCATTGCTTTTTCTAAAAAGTCAGTCAGGAGGATGGAAAGAATCACCTTTTCTTTGTTCACCCATGTTTATGCGTCGATCGATTTCAAGCTTCAACGTTTCGCGTAGTCAATGTGGGTCAATGGGTAGAAATCACGGAGGCTGATTTTGCCTTTAACGAAAAAACTGACCATCAAATCTGGCATTTGGCAAGGGCATTTGAACACAATTTAAGGCCAGGGATTGGGGAGGATTTGAACGAACCATTCTTCAAAAAGTTTAAATACCTGGGGGGGGATGTTGAAACTTTGAATTGATCAGCGCATTAATGACTGCTGTGTGAGTTAGGTTTAACTATTGACACCATTATTTGTGAATAATATTCTTCCTCTTTTCGCAGAAACAGCCATATATTTTCCCAGCAGTTTCCCCGGAAGAGCGCAGACCAATTCGAGTCTTGTCGCTGTTTGATGGAATAGCTTCTGGTTAGTATTCCACGTAACTAAATATGAACAATGGATTGCATCATTTTTTGCCGCTATGCCCTGTGATTGGCTGGAAATCTCACTTCCAGCTCCCCTCTCAACCTGTCAGATATAACATTCCCATTGCGACATGCTGACTTGCACCTGCGACATGGTGATGACTTGGATCATGAGCGATTCTCTCAAAAATTTCTCTTATGTGTTGGAAGTTTATCCTGTCTAATTTAAACCGGTTTTTTCTTTTACTCATGTACAGTGTGTGTTCAATACTGCGAATACTTATAGTTTTACAAAGCGTTTTGTCTTTTTCCGCCCATTGTCCCTCTACAAAGACGACAAACTGAAGAATCACGGTCTTTCTGATTTTTCAAATGAGAGTCTGACACACCTTCAACAAACCACTTGTCCTTAACCTTTAAACTCACGAGATATGAATTATAACTTTCCCTTTTCAGCTTTTATACAATTCCTTGTATTTTAGTTAAGAGAATTTGGTATCATATCAAGATAACAACCTTGAGCTGATAAGTTTCTCTCTTCTCATTGTCAACGTATGGAGAAGTTGCGTATTAATCACGTCAGAAGATCAAAGTGTTGAGAGCATCAATGTATTGATTTTATTCGCCCTTACAGGTTTCCAAGCCTTGAAAGAACTTGGTGTTGAAATCGAAGTGTACTACGCATCTGAAATCGATGAACAAGCCATACAGGTTAGTAAAAACGAACTCTACATAACCAGCTATTTTGCTTAATGTTTGCTCATGTTTTCACGGCAGAGAAGGGGTACATGAAGAGAAAACCTCACAAACAACGCGGTGGAAATTTCAGTAACAGTCGATGATCAATGTGCTAAAATGCTCTCACGAGTCTTCTTCTCTGAAATTACCTTTCTATTTGGTTCTGTTTTATTAATGTTCAGCCCTGAATCCAGATTCGAAATTTTTGCGATACTGACACGAAGTGGTTCAAAATATTTCATATAATCAGCATAACTGTAAACAGGGGAAAGAAAAATAAATTTTTTTAAGTATCAAGTTTAGTCACTTGTATTTTCGTGCTTTCTAGGTGGCCAAGGTGCAGCATGGAGATAAGATCCAGCATGTTGGTGACATCACGCAAATCTCCAGAGATGAGGTGTGCGCATTTTCTTGTAGTTGTTATTGGACTTTGCGTCTTTCTATTTTTTTGTCCATTTTTCTTTTGTGTGTTCTTTGTTTCACGGTTCTTTGGTTTTGTTTTTGTTTCCTACCTGACTGATTCCGTCAGACTCTGCTAGATGTTGCTCATTTGATTTCCATGTGTAATGTTTTAAGATTGAAGAACTTGGACCATTTGACTTTGTGTTTGGAGGAAGTCCATGTAATGATCTTTCCATCGCAAACCCAGTGAGACGAGGAATTTGTGGTAGGTTGAGGGAGTTACTGGTTCTTTTGTAAGGTTTACTGCAGCATATTATCCTTGTGTCATTCGTAAAATTTCTTTCTACCTAAAGGCTAGCTTGACAAATCGCAAATAACGTTTCCGATACGCGTTGATTGGAAATTTCAGATACCAGTGAATTGCAGGTCTTACACAGCAATTATTACTTCTTAGGGTATTTAACCGTTTGACCTGTAAGAGTGACTGGCATCTATTTTTCCTAAAATTTCACTCCTGAATCACATGTTACGGTCACAAGAATAAGATAAATTATCATTTACTAATGAAGCTCCTGATTGTTGAACAAATTCTACGTTTCAACACCTTAGGAAATTTATAGAGAACAATATGGAGAATATGCATACTAATGTTGGGGTGTTAAGAGTTAGGGATTTTTGTTCGTTTATTTTCCCGTGTTGAAATAATGTCACCATCCTGCTTGCAAGTTAAGTGTATTCTATTTCTTCTTTTTCTCATCTAGAGGGAACTGGCCGTCTGTTCTTTGACTTTTTTCGGCTCCTTCAATTCGTAAGACCTAAGTCAGATATGGAGAGACCTTTCTTTTGGCTTTTTGAAAATGTCGTTGGCATGAGAGCAGATGACAAGAAGATTATTTCAAGATTTCTAGAGGTGGGAACTGTTTAAATTGTTTAACTGTACACACATAATATTTTGTCCCTCAAATCATAGGTTTCAAATTTTCTCTTTTCGTCTCTGTAAAAAGGCCAGGTTTGTGACATACTACTATTTAACATGTTGATTCCCTATAGTGATCTGAGTTTAATTGTGGAAGCTTTTCTAAGCCGAGTTATCCTTTTTCTAAGGCGGGATTATTACTTCAGAATCAAGTGTTATATTTAAGGAGTTAATCTTGGATTCACCCTTGGTCAATTCGAGTCGGTCGGTCCTACAGTACAATGTGCAGTAACCAATCAGTGCTGGTGAGCTTCTCAGACTATCTTAGTTTGACTGGAGTTCAGATTAAATGCAGTTGTCAAACAGAATTTTGTTTCTTTATGGCAGTGTAATCCAGTGGTAGTGGACGCCAAAGAGATCTCTCCTGCTCACAGAGCTCGTTATTTTTGGGGAAATCTGCCCGGAATGAACAGGTGATTCATTTGTACTGTAGCTCTTACGTACTGTACTTTTTCATGTCTTCAGTATTAATATGGTGTTCTATATAGCAATTGAAGCGAAAGAAAACTTGAGCTGAGTGTAACGGAACTGTTTGAAATTTGTCGCAAGTTTGTATTGGACATAAAACATTTGTTTCGACATTATTAGCTTCTTTTCCAACACATGTTCATGCTGTAAAGCCGTAAATGATTCTGAGGATGGAACACGAATCTAATTCCGCTTCTGGGAAAGACAAACATCCTCAGATAAACACAGTGATTATAGAGAGAACTTGCTCAGTGCGAGGGCTCGTAGATTCGTCCAGTGTATCAGTGAACCACTGTTATGAAAAACTTATTCATTTATGTTCAAGTCAGCAAGATAGTGAATAGGCATGAATAGGCATGAAGCTGAGGTCCTATGTTTAGTGCATGCATTTGTGACTTTGATTTCACAGGCCAACAGTGCCTTTACCCGGTGATAAGCTTTGCTTGCAGGATTGTCTAGAACCAAACTGTGGAAGGCAGGCCAAGGTAAGGCAACAACTACCAAAAAATAGTTGTAAATTATGCGTGTTTCAACAACAACAACAACAACAACAACAAATCTTTTTTGTTCAGCAAAATGGTATCAAAATGAAACAAAAAAAATCGTTTTATAATGAACAAGTAATCATTATTCGAGCTTCGAGGCTAGAGGAACTGTGAGATTTTCGAGTTAGTCCCTGTCCAATTAAAGTCAGTTTTTATTTAAAGAAAATTCAAAAAATTAAGAGAGAGCAGTAAGAGAGAAAGAAACCAAAGTTAATAGATAATGTAGTGTTACTTAGTACGACAGATAGTATAATTTCTACTCAATTTACTTCTTGGTGAGCGATCCAGCTGCTTAAAAGCAGTTTTTTTAATCTTGTAATTTTTTAGTTCACTAAAGTACAAACTCTGACTACCAATGCCAACTCTATGCTTCAAACCAAGAAAGGTCTGTTTCCAGTTCAGTATACAGGAGCAGACGGACAGCGGAAGGAAGATGTGCTTTGGATCACGGAGATGGAGAGGTAATCATTACGGCCACGAGACAGAAATGAAACATTTTTTGTTCCTTTTACCCTGCGAAATAGAGTGCTCAACCAAAGAGTGATTTCCTTCAAAAGGCAATTTTTCACTCGTTGGCACACAGCATGCAGTGCACTGTGATTGAGTGTTGTTAAGAGAATATGGTGAATCGAGTTGTCTTGATGTCCTAAATCTAAAAGTAAAGCTATATTTTTGACCATTCAGAACAAAGGTAAATATTACAATCAGCCAATGATCACTCAAACTAAGAAAAACAAACCGCCCCAAGTACGGGACAACGCGAAAGCGCTAGTCAAAATTGAAATCATGCAGTTTTTTCGATTGCTTTTCTCAATGGTTATGACTGGTTGACGTTGAGAATTACGGCGGATATATATATATATATATATATAAATATTATGAGAGGAAAAAAGGACGTAACTACATTTCCCGACAAGCCTGTTTCGTGAATCGCTTCACTCTTCAGGGGTTTCAGGGATATATATATATATATAGCACAAGTGGTAATAACTTCCTCTGTAAACCAAAATATCTCGATTGGCCTCATGATTTATTTTGTCTGGTCCAAAAATGCACGCGAACAGGAGTTTAGGCTCAGCTGCTACACAAGGTATAATCATATTCAAATCAGTTCATTTCTATGTACCTTGTACCCAGTTAGAGGCTAGTCTTGCTTTGAAGAAACGACGGATTAGGAAACTTGGATAGGCGAGAAATTTCCTATGTCAACCACACCTTCTATCGTTTGATTTCTTTGTCAACTGTGCTTGTGATAATCTTTGATTCACCGGGGAAACTTTCGCAACCGTGGTCTAGTTAGCTTTTCTTGTTGAAAATTGAAAAAGAAAACTCGTTTTACTGGAAATGAGTGAGTGGAAATCCATCGATTCCCGGTTGGCGCCTCATTCGCGACTAATTTTGAGCGACCAAGACTCTAAGAAGATGTAAAAGAAACAATTGGAGGTCGTTGCCATGGCAAATATAACAGTTTGTTGTTATTCCACGTGTGCTTTAGTGTCGAAAGTTTTCCAGCCTTCATCAGACTATCCTTACCCAGGAAACTACTTTACACTATTTACTATTCCCCTCGGCTAAACCCAATTGGTTTCTCGTTACCTAAGCTACACCCGAGCCAATTGACCCATTCGGCGCGAATTCCTTCCAGTGTTCATAATATGACATGCGTATTTGTACGCCTAATGGATGGGATCACATACTCATGGATGAGAAAGCCACTACGTGGGTAAAGCGCACAATGCTCACAACTGGAAATTTCTGGACTCAGAGTCTAACACGCTGATCAGGATGACATTGCGTCCTCCGCTACTAATTGCGCTTTAAAAATAGTACTTCTTTGCTTTCCATCTTGGCTTTAGGTTGTTTGGTTTACCATCGCATTACACCGACGTCAGTAACATGGGGCGCTCACAGAGACAGCGGCTGTTAGGGAAGTCTTGGAGTGTTCCTGTGATACGGCATCTTCTGTCTCCTTTAAAGGAATACTTTAAATGTGAAGCATGAAATGCTTATATGACGTGACCGATGCATACGCAGCTAGTTGTGTCCGAAAGTGAAAACGGCCAGTTTTTTTTGTATGTGGCATATTTGTCCCTCGTTTACTGGACTATTTTAATATTCTTCTATTTTAATATTCTTGTAATTCAAGGTTAGTTCTTTCGTATACAAAAACACCCGTTCCAGTTTTTTTTTTCAGTCTGCAAGGAAAGAAACGAAAACAAAACACAGATATGAACGTCTTTTTTAATTTGATGCTTTAGGTAACTCTTGTAGATTTGCTGAATACTAAGTGGAATCCTCCATGTTGCCCTAGGTGGTCACAGCGTAAGGTGCTCAGGACCACCAGTGTAGTAGGGCGATCTCTGTTTGGTTACTAGTTAGACTACGATCGTCACGTTACGTTCTGGTCCAATTGATCGTGCGTCTTTTAATAAAGTTTGTGTTGGGGGTGGGGGGTGGTGTTGCAGGTGTACTATATTCTCCTGGGGTGATAGGCTTAACAAACTTGTTCTTTGTTCTAATATTCTAAGAGGAAACAAATAAAAACATCCATCATATCTAGCGTTCGTTTCCTTAGAGTTAGTCTTGTTCTGGGATCGAAGTTGGATCTGGCCCACATTTCTTTCTCGCACATGATCTATGTCTGTATCAGAACTCAATTGCAACGACTGGAAACCAGTGCCTTTTGGCGCAGCAAAATTTGAAGTAGATGTTCACTTAAGGAGGCGGGAAGGGGAGGGTAGAGGCAGGATTCGAGCCTAACGTTACGCGGGAAACAAGTGAAAAGCAAAATCTGGAAAATTTTAGAATGGATGTTAATTTCTTTTTTCAAGAGTGACTTGATGTCTTTCCAATAGATTTCCGCTTTCCCTACTCTTCATTTCATAAAATTATCTGCAAGTTAGCGAAAGCACTTTCGTTTGTGCCACAAACAATACTATACGATTACTTCTATCATACGTATTAGCATATAACTTTTTCGCTCTCCTTATCACTGATTGGTGTCACCAGGAGCAAAAGCGCAAGAATACGTCACGAAAGACTTGGCCAACATACTTACAGTTTCATTACCCCACACAACGAGTTCTATTCGAGAGCGACTGGTCACTAGAACTACATGGAGATAATAAATCATCTTTGCCTTAAGTAAAAACAATAAAAACTCGTACTTTTACGCGATACAGGTGTTGAAACTTAAACTGTAATGGTGAAGATCAAAATCGGTTACGAGTTCTGGTACCGGATGAGAATTCATGAGAACTGCACGTTTAATTGGAAACTTTTCACTCGTACACTGAATATTCTAATTCAATTTGAAGCAGTAAGTCGTGGTCCAGATGTACGTACAGGAACTTTCAGCTGAGGTTCTTTGTTTAGCTTGTACATATGTTTGTGATTTTGATTTCACAGGCCAACAGTACCTTTACTTGGTGATAAGCTTTGCGTGCAAGATTGTCTTAAACGAAACTGTGCAAGGTTGGCCAAGGTAAGGCAACAACTACCACAGAAAGTTATGCGTTTCAACAACAACAACAATTAATCTTTTTTTGCTCACAAAAATGGTATTAAAATGAAGCAAGAAAGTTGTTTTATAATGAACAAGTAATCATCATGGGATTTTTGAGCTAGCCCCTATCCAATTTCAGTCATTAAACCTCTGACCAGCATACAAGATGTCACATGACTCTTTATTTTGCTGCGTTTGCACTACTTACATGTCACTAAAGTGTAGATATACTTGAAGCCATTATCAGCAGGAAAATGAACAGTTTAGACTACAAACAGAACCGAGCGCCAGAAACAGAGGTAGATCTTTGAAATGAAATATCAAGAATCTTGACATTTCGTCAAAATTTCAATAGCTCAGCCAGTCGATTAAACTGATCAACCACTAAGGCTTTAAAACTACTAGCGTACATCACTGAAAGACTACTGCAGTAGTTTTTCAAATTCAATGGTGCTTGTAAACGATAAGTAAATAAACTGCAACAAAACCAAACAGAAGGAACCAAAAATATCATGACGCAAGTAAAATTCCATGATGGAACTTAACAGCCAATATTTCAGAGGTCAGCCATTTTTCCTAATTTTTAAAAAATCTTCAACATTTACTGTTGTAGTTGGTTTTGAATGCCCTCAACTATGGAATTTTTAGCTGACCATTAATTCCAGTTCTTTCAATAGGTAATGCTCAAGAGCAAGAATGGGAAATGAACTCAGCAGAACTGGGTAACAAATTTGTCAAGGTATACAGAGATTTCTTCATTAAGACAACATTGACTTCAGTGAAACTTATTGTGTTAGCATGAGTTAAATTCTAATGATTTTCACTAATTAACAGCAGAGTACAGTACAGACAGCTGAATGACAGAGGTTTACCAAAAGGTATATCCCCCGCCTGTTCCTCCACTGAACCACCCAGCTTGTCGTTGTTGAACATTCACAGGCTGACCTTGAGAAGCCAATGCCTGAGCTGTATTGGGAGCATATCCTGGTGGAGGGGGCTGTCATGTCAAACAAAAAAAAGATAATCTCTTAATTCATGATGAAGATACTAAGAAATTCATTCAACCATGGACTGAGCCTAAATTATTGTGTCCCCATCACTCCTACTTGCTGAGCCATCAACATTCCTATGTGTTGTTGCAAATTGTTTGTTATCTCTTGGTGAGTATCAGAACAATGATAAACAACTTACTGTGACTTCCTGGGGGGGAGGAGGGGAACAGACTAAAGAAAGTAGCCCATTCCATAGTTCAATGATTTTCGTATTTGTATCTTTGTATTTTGCAAAGGGTGTGGTGAGAAGAGGTTTTAAATCTTTATTTCAACAAGTTATTACCATCAAACAATAGCAAACACTTATACTGAAAAAAAACTTCAATCTTCAATTTCATGATTACTACAATCATGTGACCTTCTTCAGAGAACTAATTCTTTGAACTCCACAGCACTTACTACATCAAAATGCCTATCAATACATTCAATCCTTCCTTTACTCACCCAATTTTGTGATGAGGCTATACAATTTACATATGGATTGGACTGCATTATGAGTCTTATAAGATTGATTTAAAGGGGGGGGGAGGGAGGGAGGGAGGGAAGAGGGAAGAGGGAAGCAGGGCTATCAATTAGGTTATGAGGGAGAAATGTGAGTTATCCTTTAAGAAACAAAATGTCCTTCCAGTGTTTTCCATTGCTTACAAAGAATAATGAAACTGAAAATTTTTTGCTCTTACTGGAATATTCACTGATGATCCAGGTCCAAACCTTGCACCTGGGTCAAAGGCACCATGGACCAGTTGTTGTGGGGGACCCTGTGCAGGGTATTGTCCCACAGGATACTGTTGCCTGGGATAGTGTCCTCCAGCAGTCATACCAGGATACTGCTGCATCTGCAGTTGAGGCTTCATAAGATAAATAAAACAAAATCAGTGAGGATACAACCAAAAGTCTTTTAAACTCTATTAACCAAGTCTACACCAAAGTGTATGCTATCAAGTTATTAGCTGATCCATATCACTCCCCTACTAAGAAATATTTCTCAGAAACAAGTTCCTCTCTTTTGGCAACATCTCCCTCTTCCTCAAACAAGTTTGAAGGTTAAATCTTCCTTACAACATAAATGGGTAACTGAGGAACCTTTGTTCTGTGTTATTTAACATCATCATGGTATATAATTATCCAGTAACCTGTTTTGTGATAAACATGACACAATTATTGGACAAAAAATTTTCAAGAGGTATTTTTATCTACTGTGTATATTTTGGTTTGAACCTTTCCTTGATTTAAAATTTTGAAGACCAAATTCAATTTTATTTTTGTTTTTCTTTTATTCAAAACTGTATAAAGCAGTTGGCCACGGGGAATGACAATGAGCCTACTTAATACAGGTTGACCGCTTGATACAGATTCCACAGAATAGGAGTATTATAAAAAATTGTGGAAATCTCCATGTTTTGCCATAATTGATTACTTAATTTATAAAAGCTTGCTCAAAAATACTACTTACACAGATTTTAGGAGATAAAGATGGATTAAATTTTACTTGAAAGATTATTTTACTGTTTTATACCGGTGGAGAACAATACAAACGGCCTCTAGGACTAAGTATGAGTGACCACAACCCCTTAATAGGCCTGACTGCTTAATAGAGGTGAATATTACAGTACTAAAAGGGAAACAATTTCATGGCTTAAACAACCCACTGCTTGATGCAGGGTGACTGCCTAACATGGTGCTGCTTAATACAGGTTTGATATGATACTGAAATCTAAAACAAGAGATGTTAAAAGTCAAATTGGTTTAAAAAATTTAAAACAAGGGAAAATTTAAATCACATCATATATAATGTACTGGTGGCAATCTCTCTTTCATGATGTATGTGTTTGCACAAGCAGAATGAAGATATCAATGTAACACATATATGGTAATTTCTCATAACAGACTTCTACGTCAGACCTTCTTCTACATATTGCTTAACTAAAAAATATTAGAAAAGTTTCCCAACTATTCCATGTTCACCTATTTCCTTTCTTCAAATTCCTAAGAATTGTTGATAAGTTAACTCATGTTTAGATCATGTTTAGCTTCAAAGGAGTGAGGTTAAATCCATATTCTGGTTCCTTGTGATGCACGTAACACTTAAGCTTACAGTTTTACAATTGAAAAACTCATGGTTTGGAGTTCACAGCTGTATAGACCAGAATTTTATGTCGCCACAAGGTCTGACAGGCTCAGGGATGATGATAAACATCCAAAAAATTCTTGCTTCAAAATGTTAACACTTAATGAGGGTAGTGCAACATGAAATAACATAATGGAAGGCACTAAACTTCACCTCAAGGAAACTTAACAGATCACCAAAGCACGAAAAATACATATCATGGAGTAAACAAAGTCAACTCTACCCCAGAACACAACCTTACAATATTAGGTTTCAAAAACCTAATTTTCATAAGTGTTTGACATTGGTAGGTATTCTAATTACCATTGACTGTCAACTTACATTGTACATTCCACTAGGAGCTTGTTGGGGGGCATGTCCTGATATTGGCATTTCGCTGTATGGAGGAGGTGGGACACCATACATTTGTCCACCTGCAGCAGCACTTGCAAACTGCCCCTGCAGTGGATACTGCATGGGCTGAGGTTGGGTTGGGTATGCTGGATGCTGACTTGGGTATCCTACACCCTGCTTTGGGTATGAACCTACCAAATTATAAGAAAAAAATCCTTATATTTGCCATTTACAGTATTTGGATGGGAATTTTTTTATGAACTCTTTTGTGATTTGTCTTTTCTATTAGAGATTAGAAATATACATTTTCACAGATTCATTCAAACTGCTTTAGGATATTTTGGTTTTTAGGATACCTCTACGAAGCCATTCCTGCCATCAAAACAAAAAGAGAAAATTCAAGAAGGAAGTTTGACAGTTTGTTATCCTTCATTTATTTCCTAAATTCAAGATAAGCTGCACCTTTTTGCAGTACACTTAACTGAATACAAGGTTCTTAAGTAAATGCAAAAAGACGTTCACTGTGGAATGAAGGGTCCTTAGTGAGTTACATTAACCTGTACAAAGGTGACCTTAAACTGGTAGAATGCCAATTCACAAACTTAACAATTAATATATAACAGTTGTTACAGCTGTCTTTTTTTAAGTAAATATGTAAATAAGTTTTTTCTTTGTTAATTTTATGAAAATGGACCTCTAATTATATGTAAGTGGTGCAAATGAAATGACAGTGTTTGGTGTGAGAATATTGGCTTCCTATGAAAGTATTAAAATTTCTACAAGCATGTTTAAAGTTGATAACTTTGCTTGGCCTAAATTACTGAACTTTTAAGAATGCACATTACTGTATATACAGCATAGAAATTTTACAGCATTTCACATTTTAGAATGGCAATTTTTTGTATGTTTTTCCAAGGAACAATCATTAGCAGTCAGAGAACACTGAAAATTCTACCTCTAGAAGGTAGTTTTAGGAAATTTCTACCCAAATAATAAAATATTAACAAGGAAGGAAATTTAATATTTTCAAATCTTTTGCCATATCAAATTACATAGAAAAGAAGCTATACAGTAAATGATTTGTACATAGATATTTTGAGACAGTCTCGATACAAAGAGTACTAGTTGTTACTTGGGGTTTTGATTACCTTCAGAGATGAGAGAGTTCAACAGCTATTACACAGAATTCCCCTACAAGATTTTCCATTACCTATGGTAACCTATTTTATATTCAGACAAGGAGTGATTAATAAGTATGTCCTCTTTTGCTACATTTCTCACAAAAAAACACAAATACTTGATTAGCAAATGGAGTATGTCATTCAGCTGAAAGAGCTCTATCTTTGTGGAAACTTATTTTTCGCTCTACGCATTATGAGGAATTATATGAGCGAGTACACAGTTCCATAGCAAGCTTAGACTAACCTATTCAGATCTCAATCCTTGCTAGACGCATACCACTTACTGATGTGTTAGGAAGAATTGCATATTGCTTGTTTCGAAATCACAGAAAAAATCTTCTCGTAGACAAAACAGGAGTTTTTCGCCATTAGCAGATCTCATGTTATGCTAACTATGACGTCCTTTCGATGAATTAGATGAATTAAATGAATTGGCAGAATGTAATTAGTGACTCTGTATCGTGCAATCATTGTATCACGTGTAACTATCAACTCCTAAGGAACAACAGTATTCCTTCCCCTTTTCTCTTAGATTTATCCCTACTAGCATCAATGCTTCAATCAACCTTCGTTAGAAAATGACAAAAAGGTTAGCATATTGTCAACTAAGCTAATTAAAAAGCTTACGCAGTATGACATAAGCAAAGAAAGCGGAAGATTTGTCCTTCCAAAAAGCACAACAAGAATAACTTTTGTTGCTAAAATTTGAACTAAAGTCAATAAAGTTTGCTTGACCAACCTGGAGGAGCCTTCGACATACTGAAGCTACCTTTTCCACTTAACAATTCACGGAAAACGATCTGATACAAACGAAAACACTCAAAACGAAGGGAACATAAGCTCTACCTGAGAGAGTCTGGGTAGAGTAGTGTCCAGCTCTCTTTCATATTGATATGTAGCCCAGTTCAGCGCAAAACTTCCGTGTTCCACCTCATATCTCGTTATAATACAATAGCGAAAACAATGGTTTACCCAGCCTTTGGTAGTAATACTTTCTTTTGGAATTGTAAGGGTTCTACGGAATTTCAGCCGGGGTTTAGTCATTCAGTTAGCCTTGGGCGCATGAACTTTCACCATGCTTTAAATCAACCCGATAACGCCATTTTAAGAGTGATCGAAGTGACCCTGTGCTTGTGCTCTTGGTTAATGAGCCACGCATATAGCATACAGATGAAAATTGCAGTTAAGAACGTATTTTCGAATGGATATGTTATCGCTGGGCGAAGTCAAGCGACAGATATACACGGTATAGTCAGTGACGGTAGTGCATGCTGGCCCTTCTTATTTTCAGTTGGGTACTGAGATAGAGGAACTTAAGACAGTGTGGAAAAATTTCATCGTTAAAAAAGTGATAAGAAAGATCTCCAAACCACTCGAAAACAAAGCATTACTCCCAATGGCAAACTTTTCGCCATCGTTTTCCTTCCTTTCTTCAAAGAATTGTATGCATAATGTTGTTTGGGGTTACACAGAATCTTGCTTAGCGAAATGATTGGAGCAAGAAATAACGAGGAAGTAATGGTGTTTCCTGGAAAGTCAGCACTGAACAATTGTAAATCGGGAATCGAGGATGGGGGATCAATTTTGATGAAATTATAATAATTCCTTCCCCTTTTACAGTTATCTGTTTCCAGTCCCAGTAAATATCTACATTGGGTACCTTGATGGGATATCAGCTCTTCTGAAGGTGCTTTGATAGAAAATTTCTCCCTACACATTTTCCAAAAGCAGCCTATGCCCATTGCTAAGGCTCTCGGGAACACACTGGGGGGAGAGAAGGGATGTAAACTCTAAGACACGACTCCTTCTTTCCCAAGCGCATTCTACACAAATCAACAGAAAAATGGAAGTTTCAAATCAAACAGATTTGAATTCATCTTGATCTGAAGTTCCTTCTAGAGCACAAAAAACATTTTGGCTTCTTCTTTACCTCTACTCTTTATTTTAAGCTGAAAAAAAATATCCTTAAAGGATATTCTTGAATACCACATGTGTTTCAATACCATAATGGTAAAAGACGTTTAATTTCATACCTGAACCATCCTAAATCATAATTTTTGGGGTGACACATAATTTTGAAGCTTGTGTAGGGGAGTAACACCCATATAAGCTGCACTGTTTGTTTACCTCTGAAAGTAACTTATAAAATGTCACTCTGATTGTCTAAGTGGATTAACTAAGACAAAAACTGATCTTGGCAAATTAAAAATTAGTTTTAAAAATCTTGTACAACTGAGTGCAGCCTAGCAAATTTTGATACTTTCCATGTTACTTTCCTGTGAATTTCCCTTTGTGTAGGGGACATGTGGCAAGGACATTGTCGAGCTTAACACCGATGTGCCAAAACTGAACTGTTTACCTCAAAATGTCCTTGCTACAGCTGCTTCTGCTCTGTCCCTGATTCATGTCCCAGCAACATGTCTCAAGCAGCATACTCATAAGTATGTCCCAGTTACATGAAGGAGCAATATGTCTCCACAAAATTTACTCCTGGGTGGGCCTTCCTTACAAATCATAAGGTGAGAGCATAACTATTCCACTCACCTATGGCTTGTGTGCTAAGGTTTTGGGGTTGCCATATTCTAAATCATTTTAAATTTATAACTGGAAAAACATGCAGTTTGATGGTTTTGCTGTATGAAAATTGGAAAATTTAACTGAGGTGGACTGGTTACATTTGAAGAGAAGTAGTATTTGTGGAAACAAAAATAGCTTTGCAAAAGAAACATTTATTTTGGGAATGAATCACCTTATGATGCTGGAACTTGATGTGTCTGTGGGTATGTTATTTATTTGGCCAAGATCACATTAATGGCTAGAGTGGATTTCTCTACTTGAAAAATTTAAAAGCTGATAACAAATTATGGGTTGCATCTTTTAGTTCAAACGATCTAAGAACAATTCTTCCTTGTATCCTTGGTTGTTGCTGCCTGTCTTTTGAATTACAGTGTGCATGGCTTCCCTTGAGGATAATCTCACAAACTTAGTTCTTACTTCTCTTGCTCAGGCTGATTCAGTTAAATGCAGTCCACCTTCCTCTTAAGAAGGTTCTCATTTGGTTTATCCAGTAGATCTTGATCTTAAGCAGGTGCTACCCTCACTTCTTGCCCAAGGTAAGCATACCAAGGAGAAGGCCTCTGGTAAAAGGGAGCCTTCTGCTGCCCTCTGTTGCCATCACTTCATCCCATATTCTCCCTATTGCCCCATCCACGGCGGTGGTCTGAAAAAAAGTATTATTTACTATCATTGTGTGAAGTTAAAAATAACAAATTGAAGTTAAGTTGTGGTTCACCTTTTGATAACTGATTATTTTCCTGTGTTTCCTAATTGAAAACAGGTTTTTAGTTTCAAATTAGCTTTTAACTTGCTAAGTGGTCAACAGACTCACCATCTTTCCACTCGTCCCAGTCTCTTTTCTTCTGAAGCTTAACAGGGTCATCTTCACTTTCAGATTCATCATCACTTGTCTTGCCCTTATTCTTCATTTGGTCCCTGGACCACACAGAAATAGTATTTCAACTTTAGATCAATGTTCTTAGTAACAACAACAATGAGGAAGGAAACAGTAAGAGAGTTTAAATCTGAGAGCAGAAATCCAAAGTACTTTCCAAGAAGATGTCTTAACGAGATTTAGGTCATTACATGGTTTTACATAGTTTTATTAGAAATTCTCTGACAATTCTAGCTACTCTTGGCTCTGTCACATGAGGGTCTTGAAGGCCTCAAAAATTATTGCAAGGGGCTGGCTAGATGCTTGTCTAGTAGCACCAAATTGGGGAACTGATGATAATTAGTTTTCACTCATGGGTGAGCAGGGGAGAGGTTTCTGTTAAGAAACTAAAAACTTTCAAATGTATCATTGGCACAGTACATCAAAAGCCATAGCTAAAGTTAGCTGCAGGAGGAAAAAAAAATTAACAAGAACTTGACCAAATTGAAGGAAGCTAGAGAACCATAATACTGTAAATCTAACCTAGAGGCCTACAGTGTGAAATCTAGGAGAACTTTCCCAGGAAATTTGTTGCAAACAATGACAAACAAAAGACATGACTCACTCTTTGTAATCTAACACAACTTTTCCCTCAAGAATTTCTTTTTCTAGGAATTCCTCCTGTGACATGGTAGGAACACTTGGGTACCCTGCCCCAAAGACTTTGTTCTGATGGTAAAAGAAGCACTCATTAGCATGAAATTACAACTAAAAGGTCTGAAACACATACATATTGTAGGCTTTGGGTGACACCACTTTTTACTCAGCAAGAATGTGAATGACTGGACTGATATCACTTGTAATTATACTCTTTTCATGCTTCACCAGGAATGCACAAGAGGCCATGTGGTTCTCTGATAGCCTTGTCAACCTTGGGGAATGGCTTTCATTGGGCTCTAGGTATTCATCAGAAGGAGGCATATTTAAAAGATTGAAGGTTAGAGGGGAGTGTTCATAGGATGTGCGGAGTTTGATGGAGTGGCAGTAATTGGGTCATTAGCTTAGTTTACATAGCCTTGAATTATCTATCAGCTTTATTAGCAGAGCAAGTGTAGTAAAACATTACTTACCCTAATCATTTCCCTAGTTATCAGAATTGGTTTAAAGCTCTGTTGAGGCTAAAATAAAATCATTTGATACAGTTTAATTGTAGCAACAAGAAGGAAGGGTGATTTTCTCTTCCCACAAATACTGAAGAGCTATGCAAAAGTTATGGTAAAATCTGTGCATGGTACGATTTAATTTTGAATGCTCAAAGTTTTACACCATTTTAATAATCATACAGTTATGTTCATTTGGAAGAACAGCTTCCCTCCAACAAGCGGAGGCTAGCAATAAACAGACAATTGACAGGCCATAAACTGGAATGAAACTAGTTCAGAAAAAGTTGGGCAAGAGATGAACAATAATTTATTTTGGAAGATACTGTTTACCGGTACATCAATTCATCAAATGGCACAACAACAAGAAAAAGGGGAAGTTATAGAACAAACTAAATGCAATCCCTTCTACCCAATTCCCAGCCATGAAGGATGAACAGTCTAATTCAGTTTTTCACTTAAAGCTAAACAAGGAAGCAACAATGGCAGACAAACCTTTGTGGTTACAGGTCTGTCATCTTCTCTGCCTTTTACTGTCTGCATGTGTTTCAAGATCTCCACTTCACCTGTGAATTTCAAAGAAGTACAAAGGAGAGATCAGCAATACAATAGCAACAGGAACCTGCACACTTCACCCTCAACAAGAGCTAATTTTTCCCACAAAAACACACGAACAAACCTGTAGAAAATGGACACATCTATTGAGCAGGCATGCATTGGTGAAGGTCATAAAAATGTAATTATAATTTCTGGTTGCCTACACATGCATTTAACTAAACTTGTATGTTGGCCAAAATTAAGTGTACATCAAATATAATCAAAGAGCTAAATTTCCATTGCCAGAAACACAGTCTAACCTCCACTACTCTTGTCTAAAAACTACCCTGAAACAGTGAGATTAGTGTCTTAAGGTATGCAAATACACTTCTTCATATTTCTCAAGTGGGAAAATTTCAAAGAGAACCTAGGCACACATGTTTTTAAGATATGGATGGCAAACAGAAGGCAAGAACAACTATCTTCCTGCACTTTCACCTCTATCAACAAATATAGTGCTAAGTACTATTAAAACTAAATTACTATTATGTGGGAAATAATCCTGTAATGAGAGCCAGAAACATTTAAAAAAATGCTTTACTTTGGACTATAAACTGCCATTCATGGCCCCATTAGGAGCCTGTTTGAGCGGTCGGTTGTTGCATCTGTAAATCAAAAGACTTACTTTGAAGACTTGCTAAATGATCCACAACTTTGTTGATCCAAAACTTTAAGAGCAGAACATAATAACTTCTCTGTGAAATACAAAAAAATTAAAATTAAATATAATAACCAAAAAAAAAAACACACAAAAGAAAGGTAATGTTATAGTGCAGTTTTAATCCCTTAACTGGAAGAAGTGATTCTGTTAACTCTCCCTAATAAACATAATTGAACAAGCAGGTAATAAGGACAAAAAAAGCTAGAATGAGTGATAATTATTTAAGACTTAACCCTTCTACTCCTAAGATCTCATTTAGTAATTCTCCCTAATGTCTACCATACAATTTGTATGATTTTAGTTCTGAGAATTTGGTATTGGATCAACAAACAGTCCCCCAATTGATATTTATCTTTATTTTCATCACCTAATTGACTGCTTGATATTGTATTTGATATTGTAAGGAGAAATTGGGTCACTTGTGGGAGTTAAGGGGGTTAAAGTGTAATCAGAGCATCATAAATTGTAAATTCAATCACCTGAGTATCTTCATCTGTTACAGGCCTGGATGACTCACCAAGGATATTCTGGAGTTCCTGCAAACATTGATGACCAATTATACTTTATTTCCATAACTAGCAAATGTTAAAAGTTTCACTGTATCACCAAAGAGAAAACACCCATTTCAATAAACTACCATTCCTTTTTCTATTCCATGAGAATTCAATTCTTAATAAGCATCTAAATTGCATTGCTTGTTTGAGAGTAAACTGAAAATTCTTATTCAAAAATAATTAAGTATAGTTATTCGCTCCCTAAATACCAAAAGCAACTCGCCTTGTGCAGGAATTTGGGACAGTTTCCCCAGAATTGTATGCAACATTACTACACAAAAAAAACTGAATTCTTAACCTTTATTCTTTTTTCTTGTTCCTTTTGTTCCTTGTATCTTGCTATTTTTTCTTGACGACTGTTTGCCATTTGATTAATACTTTTTTCTTCCACTCTTGGTTCATCTGTTTCTTCATAGTATCTGGAGAGGTCCTTACACAGTGTATACAAGAGAGTTAGTATGATTGTACATACTAAAACTACATGTATTTATTTCCCTATTGTATCAAGGTAAATGACTGATAAAACTGCAGGCTATCTAGTCCTATTGAAATATGGAGGAGGAAGGCAAGTGTCCTAAAAATATACAAAGCCTTGTGCCAAGACAGAGAGAACTTTTATTTTTAAAAATCATTCCAAGCTTAGTTCAAAGACATATCATAACTAAAAGGCAAACACTTGACAATCTACATCCTTCTCAAAATTTAAAGAGCTCTATTAACAGTCTGAGAAATAAAGTTATGCATTAAGTAAAAATAACTGTAAACATCAAAACGTAACATTATCATGCTTACCAGGTCTTTCAGTCCATAATTTTTACATCTTTTAAGAAAGTCAATAAAGTAAACCTAAGGCAAGAAAACACAAAGTGCTAAGTTTATTTGTGTAATTTGATCTTCTGAGTGAGAGAAATCCTGAGAAGGACTCTTGTTGGTTGTGGTGACTGACATTTTGACAAACTTAATGGGAGTTTTAATTGGGGTCAAGTGAGAAGTTGTTTTCAGTTGAGTGTTATAAATTTGGTTTGTGTAAACTGATCAGTTCATTTTGCCATGATGTTATTTCCTGAGAATCAAGTGGTGTAAGTGGGTTGTGACTGGTCAGTTTTTATCTGTGGGTAATTCTGTTCATTGCAATTGTTGAGCAAATGTCTTAAATAAGTCGTTTATAGGGTGCTGATAGTTGTTGGCAAGTGCTACAAACTAAGTAAGTTTCATTACATGGAATGTAATTTGTAGGGAATATTACTTTGTTCTTGAAACAATAACAGATTCATCATATTTATTTGAGAAGATGCACATAGAACTAAATTGGCTACACAGTAATTGTGAAGAAGGAATTTGTCAGCAAGTCTCTCTTTTTTCTTTTCTTTTTTTTTTCATAATTCAGTGTATGGTTCATATAAACAAACCTTTGCAATGTTCAGTAAAGTCATTCTATCAGTTTCAATCTTCCTCAGAAACAGATCACCAAGAAAAGCTGGTAACAATAGATATCTGAGGAAATAAGAATATTAAGGCATTTATTCAACATTGTACACTTGGTAGTAAAATAACAGCAAAATTTTGGTACCACAGGAGGGAATGCATAATTATTACTGAATAAAAATGTCTTGATAATAATTTTTAGTATATACCAAAAGATAAGATGGCATTGAAGGCATGCTCTGATTGGCTATTCAAACTCCAAATATGCTTTACTATTTCAGCAATTTACTATTTTATTCCAGTAATGAGCACAGGATTTGTGCCCGAAAATATTGTAATCATTGCAGGAAAAAATCAATAAGATTCATCTTTTTTTTGTGCTACATTATCACCTCAGTGTTGGTGGCTAGTGGCAGATATATCCACCATTAGCCAATTCCAAATTGGTGAGTAGTAGTTACATGTAATTATCATCCAAGTTAGAGTTTGTAACAAATTTATGGTTCAATAGTTTCAAATGCCTTGATTCTATAGAGATAACTGACTCAAACCTCACACTAACTCTAATCACAATCAGTTCCCACTTGCTCTCAGTTATTAACTGTACTGTTCTCAACTCCTGATGAGTCAAACTCCTGCACCATATACAGTCCCCATAACCTTACACTCACCTTAACTCAGAAGTTGGAACCTCAGACAACTCTTCATTTCCACTGAACAAAGCCAAACCATTGACTATTTCTGTGGCACGAACAAAGTGATCTACAGCAGTGCTGACCTTCTTCTACACAGAAAAAATAAATGAAACAGTTTCAGTTGATCCATCAAGAACACATGAAATAACTCAATACCACCAGCCTCCACAAAGGAGGAAAATAAAAGTGTCATCTGTGTGATGCAGTACAGTGTAAAAATTTCCTGATTCCTCATAGAGGTTTTTAAAAGCTCCTCATTGTGTTTTGATCCCACTTGTTTTCCCTTTTTAAAACATGAGACAAAATTCAATAAATTTAATAAAATTAGCGTTTAAGGATACCTCTCTGGGGAACTTTCTCACACATCTGAAAACAACTTCTCAGATATATTGATCACAATGTTAACTACTAAAAGTTTCAAATACAGTAGGTTGTAATCTTCTAAGGTTAAAAATTACAGCTTTGTTGTTGAGGGTACTTCCTGGGCATTTCACTGCACACCTTTTTCCTTGTGGATATGCGAGGCATATGAAGTAGTGGTACAGAGATTCAATATGCAAATTTTGTTGCATTAACCTTTTAACTCCCAGAAGTGATTTACTTGTAACTTCTCCCTATAACATCCTTACATTATCCAACGAACAGGTATTGAGAATATTCAGACTTTTCAGGAAGAGGTTTTTATCTTGATCTAACACCAAATTTAACAAGGAAATTAGTACCAGCTAGTAGGGAGAATTAACATTCAGATCCTAGGAGTTGAAGGGTTAACATATCATAGGCAAAGTATTATTTACTATTGTAGTATAAGTAATATATCAAAATGAATAAAGCTACTGTCAGGGGGATATCAATTTAATTATTTTCTTCATTCGGTCTACTAACCGAGTGGGTTGCCCTTACCCCCTTCAGTTGCCAATGGCTCGATTCTGTTTCTTGAGAACACAGTACCATTTAATTCTAGTATAATCAGTATATATTCTTGTCATATTCTGCACAATATATCTACGAGTTCATCATAGCGTCACTTTGATTGTAGCCCTGTACTTAATTTTAATAACGTCCACGATTTCATTCCGCAACGCACAAAATTGAAAATCCAAACAAACGTAGTATGTAAAAATACACTAATCATACAACTCGGAATGAATGTAAAAATACCTGAAATATCTCCGAGGTGCTTGATCCATCGTCATCTTCTATCTCACAATGTAAAACAAACCCTTGTTCAAAAATGTCTCCAAGAGATAGGGCCTTAGAACTTTCGGCGGCCGCCATAAGTCACCAACAGGGACATAATATATGGGGTTACATGAGTAGAACTTTGTGGCGAGGCTTAACCACTGATAAGAAAATGTGCGGTCTCATAACATCTGGAACTAACTAAAAAGGTAGCCTACGCCAAGGTAAATAGGAGGCGAGGTTCCCTTGCTTCCGTTTTACCTTGTGGGGGAGGGTACGGCTACACATAGGCTACTGAAATAGTAAATGGAGTGTCAAGTCCGGTTGGTCATGACTTCCCAGCGGTTGCAAGTTTTTCGAGGAATACTGAGGGAGTTGCGACATCTTTTGCCATTTAAGGTAATTTTTTTTAAAAAAAGGGCTGTATTGAATAGGAAATCTGAAAAACCTGTTAATTCTTGCTTAATTCTTAATAGGAAATCTGAAAAACCTGTTAATTCTTGCGCGAAACGCGAGTACTATCGTCCCAAGGGCCACTAGCCCCCATGTTCTCCCGTGCATCACATGTGCTTGCATGAGTAAGCTTTGTTTTAACATGAAGCTAGAGAGAATCAAGGAGAAAAGTAGAAGCGATGTGATGCCATGAAATCTAAGGTGCTGCGTGCGTTTTGGCCCTTATATTCATGTAAGTTGTTTCAATTAAAAAAAAAATTAACTTAGTGCACTTAGCTGAAAGCCTTTGAACAGCTTCAAAATTCTTCAACCAGTTTAAATTCACTGTAAAATTTCTCTTCCAGATATAGATGATATGTCAAACAATTTTTTAATTATTTCAATACTCCTTAAACAGGCGATGGTTGCCACCCCTGTTTCCTTGAACTCAAGCTAGAGTATCAATTACTCCCCTCACCCCATCTCTGTGTTTCGGGTGTTCCCCCAGAAAGAGAAAGGGAAGGGAGGGGATGGGGGTTGGTGGGATTCTTAAATATCACATTTCCTCCCTTGAGATAGTAATAGATCCTAGGATTGTCAAAACATAACCAATTTTCTAAAATTGCTTAGAGTTGTTGGCATGTGTCTATAAACAAAATACCAAAATCTATACAAATTAGAAATTGAGATGATTCATGTACTGCATTTTGACACAAAAATGCTGAATACTCACACCGCAGTTGAAAAATGCATAAATACCTGAATCCTGGAGCCCTTGGCTGAGCCTGAAAAATTCAGATGTATGCTGGAGTCTGAAGTGGTTTTCAATAATTGAATTTGCTGGACTTGTGCAACCAACATACATTAGGGCAGTGAGAGTGACGAACTCACATGAATAAGATTTGGAGATACATTTTCTGCATTGAGAGGAGAGCAGGGTGCAAGTCATATGCTAGATGTTTATTTTAATGACCTGAAGGCTTATTCTCATCAAAATTGTTTTTTGGTTAAAAATGATTGAAATCTTATGCCTGCAGCTTGCATTGCATAGCCTTTAAGAAATGCCTCTTAAAAATACTTTCCATTTTGCCGTTTTAAATTTAAGTTTTAAAGGCTGATGTATGAAAGCCAGGAGTGTAGATATTAATTCATTATTTAACTAGTGATTCCTTTTCATGTTAATTCCTATTCAAATAGGAACCTGTTACTTCAAGTTTGGAAGGCCAGTATCTGATAACAGAGTTTCATAATTATTCCCAGGCTGGAGAAGCTTTAGCACAGAAGCTCTACTTTGATTGTGTGTATTATCTTTGCTTACTTAGAAGTCAAAGAATGGCTCAGGTGAGTTTTATTTCATTTTCATCATAATTATGTAAAATTTGTTTAAATTTTAAACTACTGTAGTTGATGTCTCCTTTGTTCTTTAATCAAAAGAAAGTAGAAACCAAACTAGTTTGAAATCACTCTGACCTGAAATAACTCAATCAAGGAAGTCATTAGTAAAGTTTGTAAAATAACTGAGAAACTACAGCATATCATTCATTACACTGGTAAACCCACAGAAATTTGAATTTGTCATATAAAAGCAATAGACCAGTCTTTCTATCAGTTTACTGGCATATAGTAATATTGGGAGAACACAAGAAAAGTCTGTAGAACACTTGCCTGGGGCTTATGATGTACATACTTTTTTGTGTTCTGGCAATCCAACATCAAACATGGATTATGACACCAGTGAACTGAAAGAAAGTGCCCTCTATTGCTCAACTGTATACCTGCATTTGGTGATAAATAAATGGTTGATGGTTGTTACATAATCTGTTACAGATGCTTCATGAAAAATACAAGGGGGTGGGTGAGAGGCCAGTGGAAGAAGTGGCAAGCTTAGTGGGTTTTAAGCTTCCAAAGCAATATCGAGAACCTTCAAATGATTCAAATGAAAAATGATAAGTGACAAGTGCTGGTGTGATAGGAGGGCACACCACATACACACTGGTGTGCTACAGTTAGAGTGGAGATGGATTCAATGTATAAAAGAGGATTGACTATAGATTGTGGAAGCTTTTGGTGAAAGTACCAGTAACAATTGTTTGCATGATGAAAATCGCCGTGGCACTTCAACCAAAGTATTGAAAACATTTAGTACTGAAACCACTAACTTCTAGGCCACTAGGCGTCTAAGCTCTCAAGAAGACCTGCAATATGTAGGAGAAGTATGCTTAAAAAAATTAGGCAACTTTTATATCAACCATTACAAAGTATAATTACATGACTTTATAAAATTGGCCACATTCTTAGATTTGTAGAGTAACTTAACATTTCAAAACCTGTCTCCACTTTTGCCCAATATTGGACTTCCATGCTGCCTTTTGTATCCCTCCTTTCTTCTCCATCCTTTGGCAATCTGTTTGAACTATCAGGAGCAGATACAGAAATAACAAAATGTTCCTTTATGTAATAACCAGTGCAGCTGTGGTTTGTGAATTAAATAGGGTCTTGTTTCCCAATTTTTGAAATGGGGCTGTCCATTGTCAAGTTCTCAGCACCTTGGAAAACAATTTTGGAACAATCAGGCTACTTTTTGGGATCTCAAATGTGGTGCACATTGAATATCTATACTTTTTTTAAGGGCCAAGATGAAAATTACTAGTTGAACACACCTCTCCTTTAACCCTTTCTTTTTTTAACTGATTGAAGTAATGGAGTGGAAGCTGGGCACAGAAATGTGGTAACACATTGTTTTGAAATGGAGTCTTTGCATTTCCAGTGTAATAGTCTTCAAAATTAGGGTTCAAAGGTTCCTGTATTGAACAATCATCTAGAAATACTTTTTTAGATAGTCAAAACCCTGGTAACCCCTTCTTTTACCCCAAAAAGAATTATGTTTCTCTGAATAATATCACCCACACTTATTTGAGTTAGTTTAAAACCTTTATTTTGACTCAAGTTTTCCTGGTGTTACAAAAAGCATACCTCTACATCATAACAATAATTATTACTGCTCATCAGGCACGTTGTAATTGACCATTGGAATAAAAAGGCAACATGCTGATATGCTGTTAATTATCAACTTCTATTAATACCTAGCTGGAAAACTATTAGAATTAAATTTTGCGTAACAAGACTTAAATTTTACTGCTTCAGCTCTATACTTAGTTAGCAACTTATTTAATAATTACAATGACTAACCAATCTCATCCTGACCAGCAAACCTATGGTGCTTGAAGCACAACAAAATCAGGTGAGAATTACATAATTCTCCCATATCTCTGGAACATAAATTCCATTCAAAAAAATCATTTGAATTGATTCTCTACACAATAAGCTACCAGCACTTATTTTCAATATTTTGTTCTACTTGTGGAAGTAGTTTCTACAAAGAATCACAAGTGAAATGAAACTTTTAAAGCATAATTGATTACCAGCTACTTTACAACTTGTCTCAATACTTAATTAACCCTTTAACTTCCAGAAGTGATTGTCAAGTAACTTCTCCTTGTAATATCCACACATTATCCACCAAACAGGTAATGGTAATTCACAAAATTATCAGTCAAAAGTTATCTTGATCTAACAGAGGTGTGACAGCTAGAGGAGAGAATTGACCATCAGATCTTGAGAGTTAAAAAGTAATTTGATCATATTTTCTACAAATTTCGTTTCTTTGAAGTACATGAGAACCTGCCCTCTAGCAACACCTTGGGAATAGTAAACAGGTGACAGGAAGACAACCACATGAATTTAAAAAGGAACTGACAAGACATTGTAACGGTTAGAATTCCAATAACTACATGTGGACAATTAAATCTACAAGTACATAATCAAGGTGTGAAATGAATGGCTTTCAAATTATATCTATCTGGCTGATTAAAACTTATACTGAATTGCATGCATCTACATGAACCTCAGAAAGGACTTTTCCCTAAGTAAATGTTTATCCAGATCTTAGATGAATGATTACCTGCCAATGCTAAAACAGCTATATGAAGAACAAATTACACTTACTTCCCAAAAGGTATCGTTAAAATGTGAAGAGACCTACACCAAATTAATCAAAAATAGCCAATTAGAATAAATTAGAAAGATCCAAAGATAATTCGAAGTTCCCACGAGGTTAGCAAATACTAGCCAAGATCTACTTCAGAAATATGAAGCTGTACATGTTGAGAACAAGAAATGCATCATTCCTGGGTGAACCTCACAGTAGACACTTTCTCCCACAAACTTGGTCATGAAACAAATACGGCAACAATTTTTTAATTCTTGGGTCATAGAAAATTAAGAATATACATCTATTTATGGATATGAGCAAACTTGTTTTCCACTGATCTACAGCTTCTAAAACAGCGAACACCTTGGTTCCCTGCAAAGGGTTGTCTTCAAGTCACTTTAACTAACTAGTGTGTTTTTACTGCACCCTATCATAAAAAACCAGCAGACTTGTCAGACTTAAACTGTTTCAAGTCAAGAATTGAGTGTCTCATTCAACTTTGAGATTCAGTCAAAGGTACATTAGAGACTGTCTCATATGTGGCTACTCCATTACTGATTAGTGCTGGCTCAATGAGTTGTGTGTTTTCTGGTACAGTGTTCCGTGTTCCGGACACTGAATGAACAATACTATTATCATGCACTTGGGCAAAGCTCACATCAGTAGTAGAAACTGTAGGGCGAGAACTTTTCACTGGGCTTCCCTCAGAAGTCAAACACACCAAGGCTTTTACGCGGTCTTCTGTGAAAGAGAACTGACCAACTGGCATGTTGGTAAAATCTAGTTTTGTTGGTTCTTTCTCAATGCTCTGGTCTTCTTGTTTCTTAGCATCAAGCTCTGCTTTAAGTGAGAGATTAGGGCGGCCTTTTCCAGAGGCCATTCGCTTCATCATTTGCTTTCGGTTGCAGAACCAGACTCTAACAGTAACTGGCTCAAGGCCCAACTTAGAGGAAATTTCAATAATTTCTGCACTGCTAGGCTTTGGATTCTGTTCAAATGCATGAATCAAATACTGAAGAGTTTCATTTGAGAAAGAAGTTCTTCTTTTGCGCTTCTTGCACATTCTCAACCCTTTGGCACACTCCTGTTCTTTTTGCTCAATCCAGCCTTGCAAAACTGGCTTCATTTTTTCTGCAGCCTTCAGACCAAGGTTTTTAGATTCAAATCGTGAAATAAATGACTGACTGTAAGAGGAATGTCCATTGCTGTGGGACAGCTCATTACCCACATCTTCCTGAGTGTATCCCAGAGCAATCCGCCGTGCCCGGAAGGACTCAATGAAGGCTTTCATGTCAGCTGTTAAGCAACTATCAGATAGCGTGCCAAAGATCTGTGCTGAGGAATTTGGTGAATCTGACAACTCCTCAACTGATGTCTGGCTCACTTCTTGTGAAGGAGGTGGTTCCTGGGCTTTCACCACTTGAATTTGTGTAACCACCGGTGCCGGAAGAGTAAGTGAGGAGGTTGGAATAGTGTAAGTCGAGTACCCAGAAATTACACCTCCATTTTGAGAAACAGGAAGAGCTTGTATCTGGCTTGTGACAAAATGGCCCACCTAAGCAAATGGCAAAAACACTGAGTTTCAAACCAGATACAGAAACCATACCAAATAAACACACAAAATACAGATCTAGTTCCTAGTCTTTGGTTAAAAAAAAATGCTTCAAATCAGTTTAACTTGTAATTCTTCTCAGTCTTCTATCATATAAGAGAACTTGAAATAACATGTCACCAATTTAATGGCTTGGCTTAAATCTGAATTCAAACTACACATACAGCTTGTACACCATAAAACTTCTTCTCAGCTAAGGAAGTGGCAAGTGGCTTACCAGTTTAAATGGCTAGAAAGCTTAATAAGATTCATACACAATGACATTGTGATTCTTTTTACTGCATTTAGATTATTATTTTTGATATAGTTTTTTTTAATATTCATAAATCTTATGATAAAAAAAAGAGAATCCTTGCATAGGTAGAGTTCATTACACTCAATTGCAAAAAATACGGACACCTCAAGAGCATGATCCATGAACAATGAGACCCAATGCCTTTGTGAGAAATATTCACACTCCTATATAATCAGTGACTCACTCTTGTTATTCATGGAAAATCATTTCTTTCAGGAAAGCTTGGATAGCTTTCATCATTCCCTGTGTGTAACCAACAGTGGAAATCATGTACATCTAACCCATAAAGCCGTACAGGATCACTATTACTATCACTATTTATTGTAAAACTTTTAAGGTGTTGACATTTTTGCAATCAAGTGTATATTGTTGTATAGTGACTTGCCACACATACTCACCTGCATACTCGACTGTATCGACTGATTGGTATTCTGACAAAGTTGTTCAGAGCCAATAACTGACCTTGTGTTACCTATATTAATAATAGATGGTGCCTTGTTACAGTTAAAAGTAAGTATTTAAAAGTTAGTTTTAACAATACTAAGAGCAACAACCACCTACTTTCTTTTTAAAGGGATCTCCATTTATGACTCCATTTCACATATCTCTTAGTGCCTGCATTATGTTAAGCAGGCTGTTTTCCCTGTTTTAACCCACAGATTTAAAAAATATCTCACCGACCTTGTTTTCTTAATCCACCCAGTGTTACAGAACTTCATTTTTTTTTGCTCAAATTTATGGTTTCCCACTTGGGCCATAAATCTGCCCAGAAAAACTTGGTCCATAACTTACAGTACAAACCAAGAAAATGAGTAAGAGGTATTTATTAGTCTTGACTCACAGGGTTACTCAATTTTTGAGAAACATCAATCATCATTAGCATTATTGTCGTTATTATCATGAGCATTATTGTTAATGTTACCGTTACCATTATCATTTGAAGGTTATTAATTTCAGAAGAGAGTATTTTGCCACAATAATGACTAGTGAAACACTGAGTATACTTGATTATCTATTTTAGAAAAATTTTAAAAGCTGATGATTTAAGCATTATCCATGGTTACAGTACATGATGCTGACTGCAAGTCATAAACCCCACAATGGTTCATTAAAGAGAAAAAGTTGTGCCATAAATTCAAAACATTGCATTTTTTCCCCCTAAACACAAGTCCAAGGATGCCCCCCCCCCCCAAAAAACAAAAAACAAAAAAAACTCAACAGCTCTTAGACTATAATGGTGTGTACCTTAGACTTTTTTATAGACTTTTCAGGCTACCTTATTTTCACTTTTTATACTAATTGCACTTCACCATGTTAATTAAATTAATGGGAAAGTTATTTAACCAAAGTTTAACCATTGTCAACAAAACTGCGTCATAAACAATATTGAATTTAGCTTAATCTTTTATCAGAAAATTTATTTTTGCAAACAGTTTCACGAGGGCCGAAAGCTAGCAGTTAAAGGATATATATTTAATGAAAACAACCCTCTTACAGAGAATCCCAGAGGCCCACTGCTTGCGGGAAACTGCGGTTTGGGTTAGACCTTGTGTAAATAACCAGCCCAATGTGTTTCTTGAGATGAAATATCAGGTTATAAAGGGCTTTCACTGATAACAATCATAAATCCGAAATTATTACCTGTTTAGACATAGAATTATTTATGCAATTTTGACAATATAGACAGTGCATACAAGCGATAGTGCACTCTTAGTGCAGTTGAAATTTAATTAAAAAAATTATCAGAGCTTATGCCAACCAATAAAAGCAATGTGGGTTTGTCTGCTAAGGCTGTGTGAAAGGAGACAGTGCAAGGCAACACTGCTGCTAGTTGTGAGAAATAACAACACCACACAAAGGAAAACTCCTCCTTTTGCTGATTCAGTAAATGTTCTTATTTTTATTTAAAGCACTCCCTCCAAGTATCCAGCAATGCATTACTAACTTTGTTTGAGCCTTTTAATTCCTACACTGAAAAAAAACTACATTTTTAAGCATGCTGAATTAGCCTTCAATTCTTAAAAGGAAGACAAACTCTATGTTAATTGCCAATGTTACAGCAATAAAAGTAAATAAACCACACTTGTAAATTTTGAAAAGGTGATTGGAGCTGTCAGGTTGATTAACCTCCAAAACCTAAACTTGTAAATTTATCTTTACCGACTACAAGTTCTCAACCAACTTTTGTCCTTTCTTCGGAAAGTACTAGACAAATAAGTGAATCGCACTTGACAACATCACGGCCAAAAGTTCTGGACTCTTCTTACTTTAAGAGTGCTTACCATCTAAGGACACTCACAAATCAGAGCTAGATGTAACTCACCAAGTTGGATTTTTTGGTAAGTGCATTAAACTGTTAAGCAGAACTGACAGACCAGATTATTCATTTATGGCTAATGTGATAAGATAATGATAAATTATATTAGCATGTTTTGTTTTAAGAGCTGGCATTCTGAAGATTTTGTAGGCTGCCCTGCCTCTTTCTCTGTGGAGGTTAGCCAGTTTGCTATTAGTTAAAAAATTAAACTGAGAATAAAGAAAATGAGAGAGATTCTTTTTGAGCAATAATTTTCCTCTTCACAACTTAGGGAAGACTTCAAAAGAGGACATGGCTGAATTTTCAGAGAACCCAATCTGGCCAGTCAGTTTTGAGTAAAGGCACATGCCACATGCCATAAGCAAATTACTGTAGATTAATCAGGCTGTTCCTCAAGTGCATTAAATAGTTGTCCCAGTGTTAATTCATTATGTGAGATGTTTTAATATTCAAAGATACCACAAAGTTACTAGACTGGTGAAAGTGCAAGCTTATAACCAAAATGTTATGTACCTTGCATCACAACAGAAGTATAGAAGTGCTGGTGCATTTTCTTAAGATCAGCAACAATCTTTTCCTCAATTTCTCTACCAGCCTCTAATTCAGAATCTGACATCCATATAGCTGTCTCTTGAGTAGGAGTGATCATCACAACTGTCTTCTTGCGAGTTTGTAGGATGTTTGATACCACCACCTAGAGCAAATTTAGGAATTGGTATATATATTTAATTACACAATTTGGTGTGTAGTATCCCTAATTATTTTTATAAGTTGTGCTGAATTTTGAAGAGCCATCAGGGAAAGTCAAAATGCATATGTAACCATTCAAAATACTGAGCAGTACTACACACCAAAACATCTGATAAGTTATTTATTATCCAACTGCTTTATTTTATGCACATTTCCCATCAGGCCTGAAAACTAAGGCAGATAGCTGAGCATAGCATATGCAGCCAACCAGTCAAACAGGTTTTTTTCCAGTACAAAATGACCAACTGTCCAAGTATTGCATGATATTTGTACTCTACTCTGTGCAGTTGGATAATGATGATTAAATTTAGTCCAATATACTAAGAAATAACTAGTGATCAGTCATGTATAATTGATTCATCTTTCTCTTCCTTTACAGATTTGGATATTGCTGTAGATTTTGAGGACTTTTTTATTACTTTCTTGTATTACAGTGAGAATACCCTACAAGTATGAAAGTATTCTCAATAGAGATCCATGGGAAATGTCTCACATGCTACAAAAACAAGGTAAAGTAGAGTTGATCATAGGAACTTAATCCATAATGGCTGCTAAATGGTCACTTGCTACTTCACAGCCTCCTACTCAACCAAATTCTTAAGTAAATGTAAATCAGTAGAGGTAATGGGTCAATCAATTCAAAGCTTCAAAACTGCTCCCCTACACAAACATTTGAACTCTTGGATACTGGATGACTCAAATTCCAAAAATGCACTACCCAAGTGCCAAAGTGCTGCTTAATGGTCAAGTGCTATTTACAGTGTACCTCACAGTCTACACCTCCACCAAATTCTTATGTAAAAGTGAACCAGTAGAAGTAATGGTTTGATCAATTTAAAGCTTGAACGTTGCCCCCTACCCAGACATTAGAACTTTTGAAGATTGGTTTATTCAACTTCCAACCCCCTAAGGAACCAAAAGTGTTTTTACATGCCTTACCCAAGTGCCAAATTTGATGGTTAGAGGGCAAAATAAGGGACAGTGACTTTCTATTCTTTGACCATGCTTTAAACCTAAACCATGTAGACCTTTCCTTCCAATCCATTCATTCATAGAAGTGAACTCCTTACCTTTAAACACCTCTATATTAAAAGACATAAACCAGGCAAGGTTCAAATTCCCCACTCCTCAGGTACAAATGACAGAAATGCCCCTTGGTTGCTTAGGGAGTGAATTGATTGGCACATAATCAACAAGTAGGGAACAGAAAATATAAAAAAATTACCTGATGTGAGTACTTGGCTAAAGCCTCGCGTGCCTTCTTAGAGATAATGTTCATGTCGGTCTCCAACTATACACCAAAGAGGAGTTTATGTCAACATTTTAATTAATTGAGGCTGGCAGTCTTGGTAGTTATGATATAGCAAAATGAAGAAAATCTATGTTCAGCATCAAATAGATTGTGTATATCTTTTCCTGAGGTGTCACCACAAAGGACATAATTAAAAGCAATTAAAAGTAAACTCAAACATCTTTAATAATAATAAATTAAAGCCATATGCCTTAACCCTCTCCTCCCAGGAGTGACCATGAGAGAACTTCTCCTTTTTTTCCCCATGTCAATAAAATAATTGCAGAAGGTAATGAGCATTTAGAGTAATATAAACCTGGGGTTATATTTGGAATGATTTAAAACCAAATTCTTAATAACGTTATCTCAAAAAATGCATGGTAGATGGTAAGGAGAATCAATGTTAATTTGACCTTATGAATGAAAGGGTTCCATCATCAAACAGTAAACCACCGGAAAAGTTGATCTCAAAGCAGCAATTAATAGTGATGCTAAGTAATTCTTTAATTTTATAAGATTTCCTTGCCTTAAATGAGACAGTAAATGCCTGTGGTATCCATTCTTTCACAAGAGGTGCCATCATTTTAGGGGACTGCACCAAGTTAAGCTGCAGAGGAGCATTTGATTGAATCTTGTGTTTTGGCTGTACAAATAATACATCAAGAGAATGTCAATTAATTTTTCAGCATTCAAGAAGATTTATAACATGTTATAACATTATGCTTGTTCACATGGCTTAACATTTAACCATCTAAAGCAAAAAAGCTCAGTGTTAGAATGTTACAAACAATAATCTGAAGAATATAGGAAGTCAAATAGAAAAACTAGTCTTCCATATTGTTACAACACATTTGTAAGGGACAAAATGTCTTTATGTTGCTTGGTGGTCATCATTATTCTGTAGTATTACCTAAATGTATCAAATTATTTTGACTAGGTTTATCAAAGAAATTACACTTGTCCCTGTACATGCATTTTTTTTTTCAAAGCCACATATTTTCATCATATATCATAGTCTTAAATAAGCACCCAAGCTCCAATAAGCACCCTCCGCTGAATAAGTGCCCAATCCCTAAGCCATTATGTCAATCAAGCAAACCCTTGAATAAGCACTCTCTTCCCACCCAACTCTGTCCTTCCTCACTTTCTTACAGAGTAGGATTACTTGGAAAATCTGTTTCTATTGCCACTTTATTTAAAACATTTAAGCTTCAACTGGCACAGAATCAGTACATGTTAATAGTTTTAGTATGTGCCCCTCCTTTTAAGCAATTGAAAGTTTTACATAAGTGCCTCAGAGTTTATTAAAGGAAATATGGTAAATAATAAAGAAGAGAAGTCTTACTAAATCTTGAGGAGGGATGTAAAAGTCAGAGACTGCAGCTGCTAAGTACATCATAACTGCAGGTCCATGAGGAGCTAGAGACTCGGCCACACTCCTCAAAAGAAACAAGTACTCTGACAAACTATTGTACTCAATCAACAACAATGTGCCAGCAGTTTGTACCTGAAACACAACAAAGCTCAAACAATCATCAAAATAACTAAAGGTCTTGTAACTTTCAATTTAATATTTTCCAATATAAGGGCTAATTAATAATTTGATTGAATCCTTAATCACAGCTGCCACCAGTTGTTTGAAGTCACCCTAGATATGGAACTCCATTCTAGTTATAGCTCAAAGTATCTCCTGATAAATCACCACTTTGGTATAGAGAAGACTTCAGCAATATCAACTAGTGGATCCTGCCCTCTTGCCTATTTTTTCCTGTTGGCCCTGAAATCTCTCCTCAACCCACAAGCACACCTACCACAAGATCACAAGTTATCTGGAGAACATTAAACATCTCTACTAAAAATGTAAACAATCAACCATAATTTGATAAAGTTCCCACACAAGCAAGAAAAACAGAAATGACTACCATAATTTCCAGCTGTTTACCCACATAGCCGTTTACCTGCACCAGCCGATTATTGCATACGGTGAAAAAAAAATCAACAGATGACCCGCACTGGTGGATAACCCGCATGTTATGTTATTGAACTTTTTGGTGGTGAAAACGTGAAATTAAGGCGATACATTTCAGTCTTTTAAAAGTTGTCTAATCTAACTTTCGAAAGCTTTAAAGCTTCCTTGTCAAGTTTAAAGGTCAAAGAAATTCAGACACATGCACAATTCTTCAATTTTAGCATGTTCTTTATTGATAAAATTGTAAAGTAAAAACACTAGCAGCCCATGCCCAAATCTCAAAGTTTCGTACTTGACAGAATGCAAATTTGTGGCCACATTTTGTGCGAGCGATCGTTCAGCACCATGTTGATTTGTTGAAAGAAAGCCAGGTTGGCGATTTCTAAAAAAAACAGAGATCTCCAGTTCTATTGAGCCTAACAAGTCCCTTAAAATGGGAAAATTCTCTTTAGCTCAAGCTAGTGTTAAATGGAAATTTGTTACTGATGTACCGGATATCTTTGGATTATTTTTGTCACCATCAAGGTTTTGTTTTCACGCATGCCAATAATAATTTGTTCATCACACAACTAATTATGCATGAAATAAACCCGAGTTGGCATCATGTTTTCGTGCTGCTTTGTGGCACTCTTAATACAATAAAATTAATTTGAGAGGTGGAAACGCATGTAGGTGAGAATTTTTTTCAATTCAACTACCAGTAGGTTTTAAAATTGCCACATAACCTGCACCTCCCTATTACCTGAAGTGGCGCGTGTTAAATGCAAAATCAACAGATTACCCACAGGTAAACAGCCGGAAATTATGGTACATTGAGTTCAGATTAAATGGTAAGCCTTCCACATGAAATGAATAGAAGAGCTTACAAAGTTTTCTTTCATGGTTGGACTTGTAATGTATGGCTTAATATGGCTTTCATTTCAAAGGTGCCTATCAGAAAATTGCATTAAAAAGTCATATGAAGAAACTTAGTGAAAGCAGCACTCAAAAAAGACAAGTGCCTCTTTTCAAAACACATTTTTATTCCTAGCATAAATTTTATCAGTAAGTTAAGACTCTGAGTATTGGACCCCATTTGCCTAGCTTGTATCCAAATGCAAAATTGAATGTAAGCCAGAAAAATCTGTTAATCCTAAATATAAAATGCTCACTTTTGAAGAGTTTTCCTGAAGTGGGGAGGGGGGGTGTTTCTATTCAGGACTCATAAGAACATGTCATGTCTCAAAAGGCAAACCAGAGGGACTTGCACACAAACAGTTCCCACCAAAGAGCCCCATTATATACTATTAATGATATCTTCCAACACAACATCAGCATTCTAGGGGTATCAAAATGTAATGCATACCTGTCTGTAAATTTTCAGAACTTGGGTCAATTTTGGCACTTTGCTTGCATTCACTAGAGATAAAAAAAAATGATAGGAAGAAAAACTGAAAATAGTCAAATTTGATACCTGGCAACTAAGTCTCTGATTATCTCTAGAAAATAAGTTTTCCAACAGAAAAAAAAAATCCAAAAATAACCAACCTTGAACTTGAGTAGATCCATCAGGCATGTCTTTGAGTTGTAACAGATCAAGAACATCTTCAGTTGGGAAGTGCCTTGTGAAAGGCCGTAATGATCCCTGCCTGTGTAGAAATACCACAGCATAACCTTGCTCTAGAAAATACCTTAAGGATTAACGGTCAAGGAATCAACAAATGATGAACATTATTTCATCCTTATGTTCTGGCAACCAAAAAAAAAAAAAAAAGGAAAAGTCTGAGCACCTGATAAATTTATGGAGCTCTAAATTTGTAACCTCTAGAGCCTTTTACAGACTTTGATCACTCACTCAGTTTCATTCACTAGGATTGGCCAGTTTGCCTGTTCAAGCAAATTCACCTGTAAAGTCAGCAGTATTCTGTAAGTACTGTAAATAAGCTCTCAGAAATGTGTGGTGGAAACAAGATCTTTTTTAAACACAATACATCATTAAGTTGCAATTTCTAAACACAGACGAATCACCCATCAAGACAGCTTCATACAAATAGCTTCTTATCAAGGATACTCAGCAGAAGCAGATCCTCTGGTTCCCATGCTGAAGTTATCAAGAAAACGAACAGCATTTTCCTCCAGTGGTACACGAGTGCCTCCAGACTATCAAGAACAATAGTTACAATCAAATGAGAAACTGCTCACTCATCTCAGCCTAAAAAATGAAGAAGCCTGGAGGAATTTTTTTAAGGGGCAGTCACTACCCGTCAAACCCAAGATACCAACTCCACTGTCTCAACAACGACCTCTGTGTTTTACTGAAAAGGACATTTTGTCAGATAAGCACTTAGTGATTCACAACAAGTAGAATCTTCTGATTTACACTTCTTTTGCCTCCTGAATTATAAGGTTTGTAAGTGGTTGAATAAAAACTTCATCTTATCAAGGGGGGGTGGGGATGGACACCCCAAAATTCCCCTTCCTCCAGTTCCATACCATGGTTAAGTTTTTAGCACAAAAGATTCTTTGGAATCTCAAAATACCTTGTGTAATAAACTTATATGTTAAAAGCTATCTATATCTTGAATACAATATCACACCTGAATCTCACATAAAGGTCACAAGAATAAAGGTAATACTCATTAACTAAATGAACTCTTCATTGTTACAGAAATTCTCCTTGTTAGCAACTTAGGAAATGTATGGAGAACAGTATGGAGAATATGCTAATTGATGTGATGGATGGTTATCTTGGAAGCTGACACATGTTCAAACAGCATGAAACTCTTTAAGAAATTAGCATAGCTCCCTTTCTATTACAAAGTTAAGTTAAATAAGAGAACTTTAGTCTTTAAGCATTTACAAGGATGCTGTCCTGCTTATATGTATCATCTACTCAAATTTAGTGCACTCAGTCTGAATGCCATTTAACCTGACCCAAGCAGCATATTTTATTTTATCTCGCTTTCAGCTTGCATTCGTATAGACCTGTTAACCAGTTTTATAATCCTAAAATACATTTTAATTCTAATTACTGTACTTTTAGGATCGAGGGCCACTAGTTTATCAGTTGAATTACTGTTGTGTGTTACACTCCTTAGACATAAGTTGTTATTATAATGATTATTATTATTATCATGGTGTAAAGGGTAACTGACAGAAATAAAAATTGGATGGTTTCTGGAGCATACCTCTCCTTCAAAAGGCTACAGTGTATGAGCTGTCAACCATTCTATGGATGGATAAAGCACACTATGGTTTTATGACATTCCTTACTTTCATTTGTCATAAAAAAGTCAAATCTCCTCCTTATGGTTATTTAACAATAACGATTTGTGTCCAGGGAATTTAGTCTGTTGCCACAAAGAGAAATGACAAAATTCCAAGTTGATACTATTTTAATTTTTTGCACCAAAATAATTGGGATTGCGATCGACGTATGACTGAATATTCATAAGAGCACAATACGCAGATTGGAATAATCCGTTCTGCTAAGCTGAAAATTTGATTTCGTATCTGCACTACTCTGATTTAGTGTCCCCGTTTTCTAGTCACAAGTGTAAGTTTGCGCACCAAAATTCCAGATATTTTAATCAGAGAATTATGAATACTTTATGGATAAAACATTATGTAAATGTATCATTTTCATTATAATAGTATAGCGTAGCTCGCATCTGAGAACAAACAGCAATTCACACAAGCGGAACCAAGAGTAGATGCAAATATACTCCACTCTCGGGGATTAAAATAATCAGGCAAGGTTACGCTCAAATACACACAAACAAACCGATGTTATTTCCAAAATTTAAATACCCCAAAAGCCGCGAGATTAATTCCCAATATCAAAACATAAACACTTCTCTCAAGATGTTGTCGAACTTCGAGAAAATTACTGCGCACAAACATTAACAATTAAAATCATAAGGTCGCTGTTGAAACGCTCAACTGATCACGACTAGCTTTCGTGCATTTCGCAGCAAAAGCTCGACACCTCTCAAAATGACAATTCTGCTTAAAGCAACTCGATTAATTCTAAATTTTGGAAGTAAAAATGAATTTTAGTAACATTATTATGTCATAATATATACTATTTCTTGCATGTTTTAATCGTAATGTCAGATTAAGGAGTGTATGTGCATATGCATGGATTTCCGGCCCGAGTAGTTTTCTTCTTAAAATATCAGTGAAAGCTATAGACTAACAACTCACCGTCACAAACACTATTTCTTTTCCAGCTGCCCGATGTTTACCTGCAAATTCACAGACAGATGCCCTCACTTCTTTCAGGTTTCCAGGAGGTGTGTGTCGAGAGAAATATTCAACCCAATCCGCCATGATTCATGAATTATCCCTCATTACATATTCCGCTTTGATTTTTGAGAAAACTGTGTTCTCTTCGCTTCAAGAAGAAAACCTTATCACTTCTGTTTGTCAATATGCGTCATTGAAACGATTGAAATCGATGGAAACACATTTTCATCCCAAAATACCGACTATTTCAACCACAATTTGACACAGAAAGTCGCGAAGGAGGAGAAATAATTTGCGAGCAGCGCATAAATTATTACATACGGATTGTATAGTAGCCAATCAGAGAGCTGTATTTGAAACCAATTGTCTGGACTACGTGACAGGAAAGCAGAACAGTAAACAAAACTTAACTTAATTCTACAATTTACCAAGATATATCAGTTTTTAGCTCAGGTAAAATCTGAATTTCATTATTTTTCTATGATACTTAGCTTTCTGGCAAAGGTAAAGAAATCCTACGGCGATCTTTGTAGTATCACGTGACTCCAAAAGCTGTCACTGAATCCTTAGGAAATAAAACTGATCACTGCCTCAGGGGCAAACAGTAAAGCTAGCGCTCATTTCGGACTACATCTAATTTAAAAGAGCATGAAAAGGAGAAATAAAGTGGCTGTTTAACCAGTTAGCGATGTTAAGAAAGTACAGATTGATATGCTCTGACCTTTTCTATTTTGCCAAATGTCGAGATGTGGGAGAAAGGGAGGGAAGGTGACGTCATTGAACCTTCACACGGTACTTAGGCATGATGAGATATAAGAAAGCACTTATGTAAAAATAAAAGGGTAAAATGAAAGGATTTTCCCAGTTCGAGTTTAATTGTATTCTGACTGTTATTGCAAATTGTCAGGGTCGGCCGGGGGGGGGGGGGGGGGGGGGGG